AAACGATTCCAAAGTGTTTTTGTCGGCGTTTTTCTCCATTTTACGCGTTTTAACTCATCTCACGTCTGAAAGTGGTATTAAAACTCATGAGTTTAATTGATATCTGAATTGTTACTAAACCTGTGTTTGTGTTTAGCCGACGGCTGTTCCGCAATTGGTTCGCACGACGGGATCATAGACTTACTGCTGGAGTCGATTGTGGAGTTGCCGTCATTCATAATGTCGGACCAGCGCTTCGACCTAATGGTCATACTTCTGTGCCTTTGCATCAATTTAGTCGAGTTTTGTCCACAAATGCGAGACTTAGTCGTCGCCAGCGATTCAAAGCTCAAGGATTTAATTGAATTGCTATTCAAACGCATAGAGGAGGCGCAGCGCACGGAACAGCAGACCGATGAGCTCCTGGAGTCGCACGAAAAGGTCCAGATGACCGAAGCCATGAGGGACTCCCTGTTGCACACGAGTACGTGGTTTTGACGGCGCCGGCTGTCTATTGATTTGATTTTCTAATTGTATTGATTGGTGTTTTTCAGTGCTCTCCCAATCGGGCAATCATATGGAGCACAGCATAATCGCCGCCTGTATAGCGCTACTCTTGGGCTGTACTATTCAGGACAACATGAGGTATACCAATATCGTGAGGTCTAACCTACCGAACCTGTCGTTCGACCCGTTGGTTGAAGTGTTGCAAAAGCTCCGGGACTTTGCCTACTTAGCCGTGAGTGTTGTGCTTTGATATGCAATTGAATTGTGATTTTTGTGTTAATTGTATCTGAATTATGTATTTTTGTGTTCAATATATAGGACATAATGACCAAAAAAGGCAAAGAGAGAGTCGACCGAATCATTCAAGTGTTCAAATCGTCTTAACATTGATAGACATGTCTATTATATATGAGATTTTTCATGATTAGCGTCAAAACAATGAATACAAATGTGTTTTTTTAAAATTGCAAACTAAACGATTATTATATTTACCGGAGACATAATTTATTTTATATTTTTATTTCATTGGCGTCGAGAATCGTAAATATAATTTTGGATTCATTTCAGAAGTTATGTATAAATTTGTGCACAATTTTTTTCTCTA